GCCTCCCAAAGTGCTGGGATTACAGGCTTGAGCCACCACGCCCGGCCTGGGAACTCTGATCTTAAGAGATGTCAGAGTGGCGCCCTCGGGTGAGAGCCCGCTCTAGAGACCTGGGATACCAAGAAAGAAGAGTCAAAGGTCCTGGGTGCCAGGTTTGGGAATCACTGAACCAGGAGCCCCAGACTTAAAGAACAAAGGGCAGAGAATCCCTCCCAGGTTTGGGGGTGGCAAATGCAGTCACCATACCGGATCAGTGTGGCCTCAGCAGGCTCCACGTTCAGCAGAGGCAGCAGCAGCAGCAGCAGCAGCGGTGGTGGAGACATCGCTGCAGACCTAGGTGTGGACCCAGGCACCCTAGTTTCCTTTCCCCTGTGACTCCGCCCTGCTTATGCCCCACCTCCAGGTTTAGGAGGTGATCAGGACCCAAGATCCCTCAGCAGGTGACACAGGGGGACAAGGGTGTTTTTAAAGATTTGTGCAGAGTGTTTGTGTAGTGTCAGCCAGAGTTGTATCCTGTGGCCTGGGTGCTCCTCACTCCCTCCTTTGGAGGTGGGGGAGTCTCTTCTGCAGGGACTGCCTCCCACCCCCCATCCTTTAGCCTCTGTCACTTTTACTTCTCACTTTCACATCACTTTTCTGAGACTCGTTAACCACAAGTGTTTCCTTGGCCAAGTGGGACAGCAGGTGTTTGTGAAGGGCCTGGGGAGGGAGAGAGGAACTGATGATAAGCCTGCCTTCCCACGTGAAGTGGGACTGCCTGAGTCTCAGGACCCAGACTCTTATTATTTTATTTATAGGTGAAGTATATTTCTTGTAAGCAACAGAACATTGAGTCTTGTTTTTTCATCCATCTATCCATTCTATATCTTTTTATTCAAGAGTTTAGTCCATTTACATTCAATGTCTTTCTTGATGCTGCTTGAGGCCAGGTGCAGTGGCTCACGCCTGCAATCCCAGCACTTTGGGAGGTCAAGGTGGGTGGATCACCTGAGGTCTGTAGTTCAAGAGCAGCCTGGCCAACATGGTGAAACTCCATCTCTACAAAAATACAAAAATTAACTGGGTGTGGTGGTGCGTGCCTGTAATCCCAGCTGCTGGGAGGAGGCTGAGGCAGGAGAAACGCTTGAATCTGGGAGGCAGAGGTTGCAGTATGCTGAGATCATGCCACTGCACTCCAGCCTGAGCAACATGCCGAGAAATGTTATCTCAAAAATACAAAACAAAACCAAAGTAAAACTTAGCCAGGCATGGTGGCATGCACCTGTGGTCTCAGCTACTCTGTAGGCTGAGCTGGGAGGATTGCTTGAACCCAGAAGGTTGCGGATGCAGTTAGCAGGGAGTGTGCCACTGCACTCCAGCCTGGGTGATGGAGCCAAAAATAAAGTAGTAATCTGGTTCCCAAATATCAATAGTGTCAAGGTTGAGAATCCCTGTTCTCTTCATTCCTTAGCCCATCTCATGTTCTTGATTTCAAAATAAGTTACAGACAACAGTATTCTTCAGTGCCTGTACTTCACACACCCATGCTTTTAAACAGCTACATAGTATTTCAGAATACAAATGTAACACTACTTCCAGAACGGATTCTCTACATAGATTGCTTCCCCTTTTCAATGTAACATGCAGTAATGCCCTTGTATTAGGGTTCTCTAGAGGGACAGAACTAATGGAATAGATATATACATAAAGGGTGTTTATTAAGTATTAACTCACACGATCACAGAGGTACCACAATAGGTCATCTGCACAGGGAGGAGCAAGGAGAGCCAGTCCAAGTTCCAAAACTGAAGAACTTGGAGTGTGATGTTCGAGGGCAGGAAGCATCAGCATGGGAGAAGGACGTAAGCTGGGAAGCTAAACCAGTCTCTCTTTTCACATTTTTCTGCCTGTTTATATTCTGGCCATGATGGCACCTGATTAGATGGTGCCCACCCAGATTAAGGGTGGGTCTCCCTTTTCCAGCCCACTGACTCAAATTTTTTGTTTATTTTATTTTACTTTAAGTTCTGGGACACACGTGCAGAATGCGCAGGTTTGCTATGTAGGTAAACACGTACCCTGGTTTGCTGCATCCATCATCCTGTCATTAGGTTTTAACCCCCACATGCATTAGGTATTTGTCCTAATGCTCTCCCCCTACTTGCTCCCCACCCCCGAAAGGCCCCAGTTTTCGATGTTCCCCTCCTCGAATGTTAAACTCTTTGGGCAACACCCTCAGGACGGACCCAGGATCAATACTTTGTATCCTTCAATCCAATCAAGTTGACACTCTATTAACCATCACAGTCCTTACAGATATTTTCTGTGTGTCTGTTCCATATCATCCGTATTAGTCCATTTTGCATTGTGATAAAGGAATGCCTGAGGCTCGGTAATTCATAAAGAAAAGGCCAGGTGGTGCTTCATGCCTGTAATCCCAGCATTTCAGGAGGCTGAGGCAGGTGGATTGCCTCAGCCCAGGAGTTGGAGACCAGCCTGGGCAACAAAGAAAGACTCTGTCTGCAGAAAAAAAAAAATAATAATATTTTGAGACAGAGTCTCACTTTGTTGCCCAGGCTGGAGTGCAGTGGTGTGATCTGGGTTCACTGCAACCTCCGACTCCCAGGTTCAAGCAATTCTCCTGCCTCAGCCTCCTGGGTAGCTAGGACTACAGGCAAATGCCATCATGCCCAGCTCATTTCTTTATTTTTTTTTTTTTTTTTTTGAGACGGAGTTTCACTCTTGTTACCCAGGCTGAAGTGCAACGGCGCGATCTCGGCTCACCACAACCTCCGCCTCCTGGGTTCAGGCAATTCTCCTGCCTCAACCTCCTCAGTAGCTGGGATTACAGGCACGCGCCACCATGCCCAGCTAATTTTTTGTATTTTTTATTAGTAGAGACGGGGTTTCACCATGTTGACCAGGATGGTCTCGATCTCTTGACCTCATGATCCACCCGCCTCAGCCTCCCAAAGTGCTGGGATTACAGGCTTGAGCCACCACGCCCGGCTCATTTCTGTATTTTTAGTAGACACAGTGTTTCACAATATTGGCCAGGCTGCTCTCAAACTCCTGACCTTGCGATCCAGCCGCCTTGACCTCCCAAAGTGCAGGGATTACAGCATGAGCCACTGCGCCCGCCCCCTCTCCCACACAAAAAAGTTTTTTTAAAATTATCTGGGTGTAGCCGTGCATGCCTGTGGTCCCAGGTACTTGGGGGGCTGAGGCAGGAAGATTGCTTGGGCCTGGGAGTTTGAGGTTGTATTGAGGCATGATTGTGCCACTGCACTCCAGCCTGGGCAACAACGTCAATGAATCACACATTCACTGTCCTACAATGATGGAAGTCAGAAGTCCAGAATGATTTCAGTGCTGAAACTGCCATGTTTGCAGTGCTGTGTCCTGTCAGGAGGTTCTAGAGGAGAATCTATGTCCTTGCCTTCCCCAGCTTCTAGAGGAGGTCCATAGGGGCTCCTTCTTCCCTCTTCAAAGCCAGCGTCCTGGTGTTTTGCTGCTTCTGTCTTCATACGAACTTCTTCTGAATCAACCTCCCTTGGCCTCCCTCTTATGAGGACCCTTGTGATGACACTTAGGGTCCATGTGGATGATCCAGAATAATCTCTGTTCTCAAACTCCTTCACTTGATCACATCTGCTAAATCCGTTTTCTCACATAAGGTAGTATTCACAGCCCCAGGGATTGAGGTGTGAATATCTTTTGGGGGCCACTCTTCAGCCCACAGTTGATAATTTACTTCCTGTCTTAATGCCTGTTTCCCCATTTGAGTCTATTTCCTATGAGGGCAAAGATCTTCATCTGTTTAATTCTCCATTGTGTCCCCAGCACCCAAGACAGAGCCTGGCACATGGTGAATCAGGCAACACGGCAAAACCCACCTCTGCCAGCCGAGACTAGCCTGAGCAACATGGAGAAACCCCATCCCTACTAAAATTATACAAAAATTAACCAGGTGTGGTGGGCACGCCTGTAATCCCAGCTACTTGGGAGGCTGAGGCAGGAGAATCGCTTGAACCCAGGAGGGAGAGGCTGCGGTGAGCCCTTGTCTCAATAATAATAACAATAAAATAATACTAATAATAAATAGCAAAGATCCACTTTGTGCACTCGGTGCTCTGGGGAGTTTTTCTGAAACAGCGGACATTGTCTCTGTGATAACTGTCACCGCTCCCCCTTTGTTTTCTAGTCAGAGCACTCGGTCTGGGCCCCTTCAACTCGCCCCCACGCTTTCCGCCCGCAGCACCCCATCCAACTTTACCCAAGCGCAGGTAAGTAGTTTCTGAGAGGCCGCGCCTGCAAATTCCCACTTGGCCACACAGTGGTGCTGTGGGCCTGTTTTCCCAGCCAAGATTCCCCAGCCGCCGCCCCTATTTCTGGAGCTGGACTCCTGGAACACCATGCTCTTTCCAGCTTCCCTGCTTCCGCCCTAGCGGTTCCCACCGCCTAGAATTCCGACTTGCTCGCTCTCTGCACCCCACGGGAAAAGGAGCAGAACAGAGGCTACCTCCCTGACTCCCCTGCCGGAGCTTACTGGGAGATCTCCTGCCTAACACGGCCCTGCCAGTGGGACCTGGATCTCCCCCTATCTTCTCTGTCAGGGGGTTGTGACCAGGTCGGCCTCCACCATTAGAACAGCACACTCTCGAGATGGGGCTCAGGCCTGACTCTTTTCGGGTCCCCTGAATCGCCCAACACAGTTCTTCTAGAAGACTCAGGATGCGATTAAAGGATTGCCAGAGTTTTCCACCGATCATCTTTTCTAACCCATTATCTCTGGGCAGCAAGAGGCTGAGGAGGGAGAATGACGTCAACGCCGCGGGAGAGGCAGCACCGCTTCCCCAACTCGGGGTCTCCGAGCTCCCAGGGGTCTCGGAATACGGAGAGAGAGAAGAAACACGAGATGAGGTCCGAGGGAATGGTATCCACGCCCCTTAACAGGAACTAGTAAACCCTTACCAATTAGCCACCTCCCCCACTGCCACCTGTCGCTGCTGTCGCGACCTGTCGCCTCCCACGCACGTTGTGGCTGGGCCCGCCCCCGTCAGGGCGTGACCACGGCGTGGACTACAACGACCGTGATGCTCCGCGGCGCCGGGAGCCTTTGACGAAAGGCAGAGTAGGCGAGGGTTTCATGGGACTCGTAGTACAAAACCCCTCACCAGGGTGCACCCTGGAGAAAAAGGGTAGTGCCCTTCTCCTCCCTCTCTTCCTCAACTCCGTGTGTACAGGCACAAAGCTTTCTCTTTATTTATTTATTTTTGAGACGGAGTTTTGTTCTTGTTGCACGGCTGGAGTGCAATGGCGCAGTCTCGGTTCACTGCTACCTCCGCCTCCTGGGTTCAAGGGATTCTCCTGCCTCAGCTTCCGGGGTAGCTGGGATAACAGGCGCGCGCCACCGCACCCAGCTAATTTTTTTTTAGTAGAGACGGGGGTTTCACCATGTTGGCCAGGTTGGTCTCGAACTCCTGACCAAAGGTGATCCACCAGCCTCGGCTTCGCAAAGTGCTGGGAGCACCGTGAGCCACCGCGCCCGGCCACAAATTTCTCTCTTTTTTAAAAGCACTCT